TTGCCATAAATTCTGGACATTCTGTAAATGCTGAGCTGAGCTACGAGTTACAACATTCAGAGTGAAAAGGTGCGTTTGCGCAGTTGGTTTGCTGGTTGTGATTGAACCATCCAGTCGACCTTTTACAAGGGAGTTTGGGGCTTGTTGGGGGCCGGGGCATCTTGCGGTTTTGGAAGGGATCGATTGGGGGGTCGGCAAAGAAAGGGAAGCTGTACTTTTTTATGCGGTGAACCGGGATACGGAGAGTCAGGTTAGGTGTGGGGGGTAGTGGTTCATTGGGGGTGGAGGTGGAAAAGCTGGATGAGAGCAACCGTTGAATACTTTCTGGCTGCTAAGCAGCGTGATTGTGATTCTTCGAATGGCACCTTTCGCAGCCATCATGCATGGAATTCCATGACAGCGCTCGTTGTCGCACTACCAGACTCCACAGCAAAGTCAGGAGAACACAGCTCGTTGCCAGTACCCGTACATAGCAACTAGTAACTTTACCAGCAAATCTTGACGCCCCCCCATTCCTAGATCTAGATTTTAGAGGGTCAGTCGATTTTTGTGGTAAAGCGCAGGTTTTTTTGGGAATTTGCAGACTTGTCAATTTCCGGTTCGTAAAATGATTTGGTCATAATTGTTCCCTTCAGGATAACTGACTGAAATAGGCTTTTATTGGAATGCTTTCGTTGCTTTCAAATCTTGTCGGCTTAATTTTTTGTTGGCTCAAGCTTGCGTAGGGAACAGCTTGCAAAATCTCTGTAAATTGTTTTCTTGGGGAGGGGGGGCAGCAAAATCTCGGATTATAATTAATGTTCACCGGATAGTGACCCCCCTGATTCACCCCACCTTCAACTTGTTTTGCGATTTTGGGTCTACGGAAGCGGGGTCGCACTAATTAACAGAGGCATGGGGGTAGGACCGTTCTGGCCGGGTACTGGTACCCCCTTTATTAATGCTAGCTCAGCATTAGTGCTCCTCACAGCGTCCATACTCTTTTCAACTTTCTTTTGCCATCAGTGTGCTTGTAATACAAGCTGTCGAGAAGTTAGGCTTTGCGTTGATAGTGAGTGCGCATTGGCACACATGCCGTGAAACTGTCCTCCACGCTGCGCTATGGCGAAGCGAACAGAACTCCAGTGGCCTGGGGAAATCTCCATCGCACCGCCCTCAGAAAGCACCCGGTTGATCATTGCACGTGACAAGCAACAAGCCAAGGAGTTTGCTGATGATGTCGTGGCTATTCTTCTTCAGCCCTTCTAGCTCAGTTTGCATTTCGGCATCATTGGCTTCACGTGCTCTTGGCCAGGCGAGGCTTCTGCAAAGTGCGAGCTCCTGCCCTGGAGCAACGCTCCATGGTTGTGGATTTGGCCAGGCGCGGTGGGAATAAGCCTTATTCCGAATAGCGAATAGTGGCAGGAACCCTGCACGTCTGGGGCTTTTGCTGGTCAGCTGCTCAGGCAATCGTCCAGCTTTGCTTTGCCCCACCTCGAAATGGAGGCGCCGCTGTATTCGCGTGCACGTGTTGTTGTGTTGTGAAATTTCACGGCTCTGCCTTGAGGAGGGATTCCTTGGACGTCGATCTCGAAGCAAAGTCGCCTTCCTAGGATCCGCCGAGGAGCCCTTGGCAGGGTGCATCCGCAACATGACGGAGCTGGCGGATGCCGTTGCCTCCCGGCTTGGCCGGGAAGCAGGCTCGAAAGTTGTGCCATCTTCTGCTGTGTTGATCCCGCCTTACCATATGCAGACGAAAGGCTTCCAGCCACTGCCGGGGCTGCAACAGCTCCTCCTGCGGGAGCCGCTGGCTCGGGGCGAACGAAGCACACTCAGCCCCGGGCCGCTCTCGGAGGAGGAGGCGCTCCGTTTGATGACAAGTGCCAGCTGATCTTCGTTGTGGGCTGGCTGTCGAAGGTAGAGCGGGGCCTCGTGGAACAATACTTGGGCTTCCTGCAGACATGCCGCCTTTCCGTCCTATACGTGCTCGAGGTGCTTGCAGATGCGGTGGAAATTGCCTAGGCCTACTTTGAAGCAGAGCTGTCGCCAGGCAGAGAAGGGCTGCTTGGAGTTGTACTCCCAGGGCTCCAAAACTGCACTGAAGGTGCCAGTGCCAGCTGCCTGGTGAATTTCGAAGTGCAGCTGCTAGCTGGAGCCGAAACTGAGCCAAGGGCAGCAGATACTTTGGTGCTCTTCCGCAGCGACGAGCTGTCCTATGCATATGCCGCCCTTCTGCATTTGGTGACTGCTGCTTGTGGTTTTGGGTTAGTTGGACTAACAAAGGTCCAGTCAGGCCGCGATGTCGCACTGCAGGGCTGGGTTCTGTCATCACAGGACCAGGCACGCGCCATCATGGTGTTGAAGAGTCTCGTGCTAGGTCAGGGTGTTGTTTCTGACTTGTCAAGGCTCTCTGTGGCGTGGCTGGTGCACTCTTCTTTCTTTACCTTTTCTGGCTTTGCTGCAGGGTGTTTTCCTCATCTCTACAGTCTACTGGTACCTAGATTCTTTACGCCCTCATTGGCAAAAGAATTGTTGAGGCAAGATCAAAGGGCAGTCCAGTCCCACCTGTCTCAGACCAATTCGTTCTAGCAAAATTTAACAGCACCAAGAAGGGGTGAGAAGGGGTGGAACATGGTGGAACAGGTGTGGAACATATTCAGCAGCTTCGTGGAAGGCAGCCCCAATTCAGAATCAAGCCCAATAACTTTGCACAGTTTGGTCCCTACACGGAGTGCGCGTTTCTGACAAGCGGACATAGTGCCTCCAAAGAGCAACCCCGCCTTGTATGCAGGTTGCTCTTCAGGGCCTGGATGGTCGCACAGCTGAAATGCCTTGCGACTTCTGCATTGAGATGCTGAGAGCACGACTTGCTCAGGCGACTTCGAAGGCTTGCAAGAGGTTTTTGGAGGGCCACGGATTCAAGGTGCAACTGCGCAGCTCAGAAGATGCACATGCCAAGACCGTCACGCCCCAGGTCAAATCATGCCCGTTGGCGAACAGGTGAGCATCATGACTGCTGCATGCATGATTCCTGGGCAAGTGGACGGCCTGGACCAGAACTACATAATGTACAGTCTCTCGGCATGCACGTCTTAGCTGAGCAAGCTGCGGCAGCGTTGAAGGAGCCTTACCTACCCCCAAGGACTAAGGAAACCCCTCTTTGGACCAAGGCGCCCAGACAGACACTTTCTTGGAGATTCCCTTCATGAGATGGGATATCAACTTGTACTACACTTCGAATCCTGAAGAGATACCCGGCCGCAAGATTAAGCTTCAGCCGGTCTGAACCATAGCACCGTTGCAAAGTTGTCGCAGAATCTGCCATTTTGCCAAGCAACATGCAAAGGAGTCCAGTTCCCAAGTCGTACACGAAGCATGCCGGGCTCCTCTCAGATAACGCCGCCTGGGTTGCACTGTTGTAGGCTCTCCATCAAGGGTGGTGCATGGCTCGGGCATTTAACATGTGTTTGATTTGCCTTGGATTCAAGATACGACAGAGCTGCCCTGCAGCCCAACAATGCGCTAGCCCTTCTCCCAATCATTTTACCTCGACAGCTCCTCCTGAATTGTACAGGGTACAGTTTGCAGCCAAGGAAATCACAGGCCGGGAGCGTGCGTGAGCAGCTCACCCGGTGTCTGTTCGCAGTGTGCCGTGTGCCTCTTCTCCAGGCTTCGACAACGACTTCTTCGACATCCCAACGAAGCATGCCTCCTCCTACCCTCCGGCCATCCGCCTCTGCAGCTTGGAGTGTCAGGGTACTGCGCAATGTGCAAGTCAATGCAACGTGACTTTGAAGAGCAGAGTAGCCCAGGCCTGGAGAAGGTTTTCGAGTCGCTTTTGGCCCGTGGCTACACGCGGGAGTCCCTCCGTGGCACCGACCCCGGTATACTCAGAGCCAGCTCAGACAGTCACCTTCGCCACTTTTACCTTCTGCTTCGCAAAGTCATTTCCGGACTTTCTCCGGCGCCTCGCATTTGATGGCTTCTAGGTCCAACCTTTGAAGGGTTGGCATCTGGAGCTGTGGTGTTGGATGCCGCGCGCTGCGTTTGGACTGGCGCAGGCTGACTAACCTTTCAGGGATGTACTGCAACCTGGTCTTGCTGTCTGCTCGGCAGCGTGCCGTCCGTTCAACGGATCGCTTAGCTACTCAGCAAACCGTGTTACTTCAACACCTTGACTGTGACTGAACTCTTATCGGCGTGTTTGGTTGCTTCGGATTTCTTGCGGTTTTCAGCCACAACAGAATGGAGTGTTTCGCCGAGGGCAAGTTTGCTAGAGCTGCTAGGGAACTGGACTGTGGTTAATCGGTGCCGGAGCGCTACAACTGCACACACTGGCGGCTCGTTGACGGCACCAGTACAGCCATATCGCAGTTTATTCAGGTCGAAATCTGCCGCTGTGGGTTGCTGACATTGGTCACGAGTTTGATCCCTTCTTCAGGCGCGGCGGGACCTCTAGGCCGCTGTAGGCGTGCGATGCTTGATGACTTCAATCTGAGGTTTATGGAGGATCCGGACACCTGGGCTACTGCGAGGCAGTTGGGTATGCCATCAGCAGGACCGAAGCCGTGCGATAGGAGCCTCGCAAGCATTCGCAGAGCCTGCAGGACTGATAGCATACCATCTCAACACCACGGGGCCAGCTACATGTGTAACGAGCCCAGGATGCTCAGGGAGATGACTGCTTCAAGCTGCGAGCTTCATGCTCCCTGCGGGAAGGTTGACACGGCCTGTTCGTCGTCTTTGGTGAGCTCCAACTTGCTCTACAACTACATGCGCAAACGACCGGCCAAAAGCTTAGGTTGAATACGGTTTGCATGACGCTGCATGCCAAGCTGCCTCTCTTCCTTTCTTTCAGGATCCTACGGTGACAGAAGCTGTCACCTCCTCCATGATGACCTGCCTGGCGCAAGGGCCCCACGGAGCCCCCTCAGGGCCCTTCAGCCTGGCCTATCTAGCCTCCATTTCTAAGGGCGCTAACCTTCGTGGGCCTGAGTGGCGCGGGAATGTTGGGGAGGACCGGACGCTGCAAGCACTTGCCTCAGAAGGCTTGCAATAGGAGCTGCTTGCATTCCACCCTGTACTCAGATCCTTCGACAACTCAGCCAACGGCTATGCTCGTGGCGAAGGCATCGTCTCCCAGGTCTGGAAGGCCCAAGCCGAGGGACAGGCTTGGCCTATCAAAGTACTCCACATGTCTCTGTTGGCAAGTGGCGCAGGTAGCTGAGGACGCCAAAGATGTGGAAGATCGGCTGGGCGTCTTCGTCACAGGTTTCGTGAACCAGGTCGGTGCCGCGTTATGCCACGTGGTCAATGATGGTCGGCATGGCCAGAAAAAGACAGGATGGTCGCAGCGCCAGCCTCACGGCACCCAATGGCCCCTCGCAGCAGCTGTGCGTGCGCTCCTCGCTCCGTCTGGGAGGCCCGGACCTGTGGACATCTCGGCGCATGCTTTGGCCGCCTTTGAAGCAGATCTCCTCTGTCAGGTCTGCTGCCGGCTGAGATAGTCTGCACCGAAAATCATGGCACTGGCACAGCCCTGGGTGATCCGAAGCTTGAGCCGAGATTGTACAAACGCTTGGATGGATTGAACAATTTTTTAGGCTTTTGCTGGCTTCAGGGCCTTTGGATCTGAGGATCGAGGTGGGCTCAGTGCGCGCCGTCTTTTGGAAGGGCCGTGATGCGCCTGTTGTGGTAACTACGGGGAAATCCCACCAGGGCCACTCCGAGGCAAGGAAAGGACTCGCATGACGTTGTGACACGTCGTCTCTGTCTTCCTGTTGAGGCCTCCGCGGGGCTCTCAGGAATCATGAAAACGGCGGCGCGCTCGGCCAGTGGACCTCGATGCTCTTCAAGAAAGAACGGGAAATTTCACTTTCGGGAAGACAAGGTGAACACGATCCGCCACTGGACGGCTCCCTCGCAGTGCCATCTCCAGCTGCTCAATGCTTGCGCCTCAAAGCCATTCAGCCGAGCTGACATCCGGGCTGTGGCTGAAAGCAGCGTGGGTCATGCTGCTTCACTGAACAAGTGCTGCAATTCTTCGTCCAAAGCATAATCTCCAAGCTGCAAGTTCTCAAGCTGAAGCTCTTTGCAGGTGACCCTACTGCAAGAAAACAATTCCATCAATAGGCTGTAGCACTGTAGCTGGAAAGACATAGGGAACTTCGTCGAAGCGACCAGTGAAGTGAGGGAAACCGACAACCAGAGAGTGCAGTGAGGGATCCAAGCCTGCGGAGCAGCAGCGGTGGTTTGTTTTAGTCCTAGCTTTCTCAAGGCGCACATCGACGACGGCGGCTTTCCGGGTCTCTTCCCGGTGGAGTGCTGCAACCTGAATGGCGACGAGCGTGGCATTATCGGCCCGGCACTCAAAGCCTCAAAGGAAGGATCCGATTTGCCAATCGAAGCTCACAAGGCGGGCTGAACTCCTTCGGCTTTGGCAGCAGCCCAAGCTGTTCAAGCTGCAAGGCTTTGGCTCTCCGAACAGGATTTCTTCATGGACAGGGCTGCACGATTCTTGTGTCTACCTTGGGACCTTGTGCATTTGGGAAATCGGAAATCTGGCAGAATATGCCCACCCCGGGCAAGACATGAGACAAACAACCAACCTCTTCTGCGGGCTTGCACATGGCTTCCTTGAGCAAAACGGGAGCAATCTCGAATGCCCCTCCAAACCAAAGTCCGGACACAGCCGAACTAGGTAACTAGGATTATTGACCGGAAGCCTTCACCTTCTACAAAACAACAGAGGCCCAGGGCTTTTACGCATGCTGTCGCACTCATTCCACTCTGTTGCAGAGGGCGTGCAGCAAAGGGATCCATCCTTTTGCGTGGGCCATGTTTTGGAACAAGAGGCAGCCTGTTGCAGCCTAATTCAATTCCATGAGGTAGAGGTCTGGAGCCACGGCAACACTTTTGCATGCAGCCTATGGTGTGGAAGTCTTTGACAACAGCGAGCAAGCTACTAACAGTATTCTCAATTCCTAATGAAATTACCAGAAGTGCAATCACAAGACCTTTTGTATGCTTGAGCAAGTCTTAGTTGGGTTGGTACTGTCCTTCAAGTTTGAGGTGGCACCAACTCGCGCGGCGAGGCCGCGCATGCGATGTCTGGGACAAAGCCAAGGGATCTCCTTCCGTGCTTGCCAGATTTGGGCCATGAGCCGTGCTGTGGCGCGGCGCCGCGGGGAGGAGGCAGACGGCGAAGCTGTGACCAGCGTTGAGAGGGAGTGTTGTCGGCCCCGAGGCGCTCAGCGGCGTGCAGACGAGCGAGGCAGCTTCTAATAGGGAAGAACTGTCGAAAAGAAAAAGGCGGCAAAAGGTCCGCAACGTGTTCTCCTCAGGCCCAGGCCCGGATCGCGGTGTCAGTGCCGTGTTCGGTCTGCCAAAAGCCTATGTGCTTCCTGTGCGGACGTGCCTTGCAAAAGCCTCAGAGAAAAGGTTTTGGTAAGGAACAACTTTTCACCTCTGCGTTTTACTCCTGTGCCCTAGGCATGGAAGTCCCAACCATCGCTGTGCTGACATTCGCGCGAAAGTAGCCGCACGCCTATGTGACTTCATTGCCATGGCTGACTTACCTGGCAGAGTCGTCCTGGCTGACAGGCCTCCTACGACACATGCAGCGACTGCTACACGGGCACCTTCCACTATCAAGGCGCGGAATGCTGCCGTCTGAGGATGGCAGTTCGAAAAACTCCGTTTGATTGATGGACATCAGTCTTTGCGTTTGCGGTCCAACTGCTTGCATAGCATCATGGCCAATGTCATCAGATGGGTAGATGGAGGGAGAGAGCTTTGAGCCTTCCTGGCAGAGTGCTTCAGGCAACTGATGCTCGAACTTCAGCGAATTGTGTTGAACATAGTCTTGACATCAAAGAGCTAGAATGATTTCAAGCAGAGGCATTGCTCTGGAGAGAGATCCCTTCAGTTCATTCCCATAGAAATACTGTAGGAACGTAGGAGCCATAGTGCGTCTGTGCACGCGCGCAAAATGTTCGCTACTACTTCTTGCTTTTTATTGGTCCTGCTAAAGCTTTGCACCTTTGATGTAGACTGAGAGTGGCCTGACAGTCGTGCAGGAGCATTGACGTGAGAGGACTGGTGCATTGAGTGTACTGCCCTTGCTTGAGTCGCATAGCACCTGCAAGCTTGTGATTCGAGCGCGGCCAAGTGAGGCCAGTTAATGTTCAGTCACCCGTCAAGGGAATAAATCTCAAGCTAAGGCCTTCGATGCACAAATTTATGCTGAATGAGACATGCAGCAAATAACTTCCCTCGACGAGGATAGCTTGAGCCTCTTGTGTTTTCCCGGAGGTGATGTTAGCAGCAAAGAAAGAAATTGCGGATGAGCCGACGTAAGTGCTATTCAAGCCGGCTTTCTTGCATGTCCTTTGCTTGATGATGCAGCTGGATCAAGTTGAGCACCATGAGAGCTAAGCTTTACCGGTGGATGAGCCTGCTGGTTTGCATACCACGTGTTTGGATTTTTTTCGAAGCACAGTACCGTTTTTGTCAGCAGGCCGTGCGGCAGTGCTAAATCTTACCGGAATTGGAGAGTCATCTGATGACAGAGATTCTGACATTCTCATTTAGGGCATATCTAGCTTTAGGGAGCTCCGCGGAAGCCCGGCTGCCTTCGTCAGGATCGGATCTACTTTCACTTTTAACGCACATCAAGCCAAAGTCCAGGCGCCGGCTGCCTTATGCCGCAGCTCTGCCGCTACTATGCGCAGGCCAGCTTCTTGCTGCAGTGCTATCTGAAATTGAGCTTATCGGCGTGACAGGGCCGCTGTGCCTTCGGAAATGCTTGCAACATGTGGCATGGCGACAGCAATGGCGAGGGAGGCTACAAGGCTTTTCTGCCTTGACCTCTCAAAGACAGTACCGCTATTAAATGCACTACCAGGATGCTGACAAGAATCTGTTCCTAGCTGAGACTTTCCGGAGATGGATTTCTTCTGAGAATGTGGTGCATCATGATGCATCAGCATCTCATGCCTCGATTGACATACGCATTGAGGAGCGTCTGAACTCAGTCTTGACGGCCGCTGTGAGGTCAAGCGCCAAAGGCTCCACAAACGGGACGACCAATGGCCAGGACGGTTGGGACTAGCGCATCATTGCTGTGTGATTTGGTGATCTTCTGCTGGAGGCATGGATGTGCATATGATGTGCATGATGCATTGTACATGTTTGCACTTTGGTGCTATAAGTCTGCTACATCCTACACAACACAATCTGACTGCATGCGCCTGATATGTCAATAGGCACACGCTGAGAGGCTTCTCATGATATTGGTAACTTGATGCACGTGTTTGTCTTGTCAGGCGGTGCCTTCGGCAGGCAGGGACAAATCAAAGGGGATCCGTCCAGTCGCTAGAAGTTTCTGCGCAGTTCACAGGACGTTTCTTTGCTGACGCCGTGGGCAGGTCCAAAGACCATTTGCCGGCACTACCTCCAAGGTCGTTGCGCCTTTGGTGTGGCCCTCTTGTCTTGTTGCAGCACAGCGCGAGCGAACGCAACAATTAGACAGACCTAGACACTTCCACACTATGTGCAGCTCAGGCGATGCATGTCGAAACCTTCATGCAGCACCCACTCCAGCGCCTGCTCCGGCGCCCGTTCTACCCAAAGCTGCGCCAACAGTTGTGAGGCACCATGGTCCTGTTTTCAAGAGCAAGGCATAGCAAAGCATTAGACGTGATCTTGGGCAGGCCTGCAAAGGACGAGTACATCGAGTGTGGCATTTGCTTCGAAAACGTGGTTTGGCTTGGATTTCCTGCACCCCCATCTGAGGCAACGTGGCAGAGTACCATGCAGTCGCATGCGAGGTCAGGAAGAGGGGCGAACGCTTTGGAATGCTGGAGAGCTCGGGCCTCTAAAGAGGATATTGCTGCTCTCGGTTTCAGCGGAAGTCTCCTCGAGGCTGTGACCATGCGTTTTGCCTCAGCTGCATTCGCGGCTGGCGGCGTGAGCGAGAACAGCAGGCACAGCCCGACACGGCTACTCCGACAGTCTTGACGTGAAGACTAAATGCTTGTGTATTTCGGTCAGTATAGTGTCTGGTTTGGTACGTACTCCGAAGATACATAGGAAGACTGTGTAGCATGAAGAAGCGCTGCCTGCATCTAACATCCTCTCAAACTTCCCCTTCCAGGACAAGCAGAACTTGCGGCTGTGTCCTGTCTGCCGTAACGTGTCTTGGATGCACGTGCCATGCCAGAGCCACACATCAGAAGTTCCCGGGTGCCTGGGAATCCTGGGAACCACACCAACACTGGGCCACACAAGCAAAGCATTAAGTAAGGAATCCTTCTATGTCATACCCAGCGACTCCATCATCCTCGATCCAGAGGAGAAGCGTGGGGATCTCAGAAGCCCTGCACCCTCCCCCCNNCCCCCCCCCCCCCCCCCCCCGGGGCAAACGTCACCGTACCAAGGAAGGGTGATCGACGAGTACAAGCAGGCTGCCGATAAGACTGTGCTTGGGCAGTTGAAGGCTTTGAGTTTGTCAGGAGATGGGACGCATCCCTTGCAAGCTCTTCGATTATGGCAGAGGCAGGGATGTTATCTGTTGATCACTTGCGCTCAGTACATGCAAACGAGCAAGCAAGAACTCAGAGGCAATTGCCCCTTCGGAACCAGCTGCTTCTACGCCCATCTGAACCCCGATGGTTTGGCGCTAAGAGTGCTAAGAGGGCGGCAGAGCAATATGACCACTTGCCACATGGTGAAAACAGGGCTGTTACGTAACTTCAATTCAAGGCACGCGTTACATCCCACCGCCGCTGAAGTGGATGAGGGGTGCAGAGGGTTTTCAGCTCAGCGCATCTCGCCCCAAACTTTGGTTGATGCTGGAGCCGTGAGACATTTCAGGCAGCGAAGTGAAGTCGGAAGTGAAGCTCTCCGACTTCTTTGACTGAGCAGTTTTGGGGAGCACGAGGAGGCCTGCTGGAACAAAGAGCGCAATGCTAGCTCTGCGGCAAAAAGAGCCCTCACACGGAACCCCCCGGCCAGTCGAATCACTCTCTAAACAAGGGACTGACAACAGCAGGTGGTGATTAATGATAAGCTCTTTGGTGCCTAAGCTTTTCCCTTCAGTCCAGGTTAGGCTTTTGATGCGTGCCGAGGCTTTTTGAAATTGCCTGGCCCTGAAGTACTCGTAGTTTCATTGTGGTGTCCTGATCATCATGGCTTGCACCTAGAGTCCAATCAATTAAAGATCCTTGTTTCCTAGTCCCACAATTAATATGATTGTTGTGACCCAGTTTATTGACACGGCACCCACAGTCGTGTACCTTATCACCACGAAGCATAGCTACTATTGTTCTTAAAGTAGCTGGCACCATCAAGCTGGCAACGCTGGAGTTACGACTGCCATCATTCCACCTTCGTCGCCGATCTCATTGCACGAGCCTTGTAGGGAGCCGTTGGCTTCAGCCTCGCTGAAAACAGCCATGCAGAGTAGAGCCTCATGAATGACGGCCAGGAATACTAGGAAGGATCCACAGAGTAAGCGGAATAGAAGGTGATGCTAGGGATCTAGAAATGGTGATATTAGAAGTCACGATGGCGCTATGACTGGTGAAGCTATGGCAATTGACGCGAAGTCCAGCATAAGCGCAGTTACTTCAGATGGACTGGGCCATGAAAGGACAGAAGCAGTCTTACCACTTAGCAGAATCCTTGCAAAGCTTGGCAAAATGGGACGGTGCTGCCGCTGTCAAGGCTGAGCGGGTTGGAACATACGCAGATTTTGCTTGGCAGAGCGTTCGACGTCAGTCGGCCCTTCGAAAATACTGAATGCAAGGTTCATGAAGCTTCGAGACTTGCTGGCAGCATCCAGCTGCGATGGCATATTTCATGAGATGAGCAGGCAGGTTCCTACAAGGTTGCAGTCTGTTACCGTGCCACCTTGTGTCAGGCGCAGGTCGTCCTCCTTCTTGGACATGGAAGACAAGGCATGGACAGAATTTGATCGTGGGCTGTGGACAAGCCGAATTGTGCTTAGGCCATGCGCGCAAGCTTCTATGCCGGGAATGCGTGTGCACAAGACCCAAGCCATTGCGTCATGCTGTACGTGACTCAGCTTAAACACACGCTTCCATGGAGAGTCCGTGACCTGACTCAGGAGAGGCGGTTTCCAGTCGCTGGCCCATGATTTCTGTACGGACCGGCAAGAGAAGCCAGAAAGGTGAAAGGTGAAAGGAAACTGAAAAGAAAGGCGAGACACTCTCTTTTTTCGCTTTTGAAGGACTCTGGCCAGCCGGACTGGTGCAAGAAGGAGACGCCGTCGGAACCGCAGTGCCATGGCAGCAAGCCACCGAACAGAAGGAAGAGATTTTGCAGTGGCAGCCGCCTTATGGCTTTGCGGGACTGACAGGTGCCTCTGTCCTGGCCGGGCAAAGCTTTACTTGGAATCTTGGAAGCACTTCTGGGGATGACCGCGCTCAATAGTCAAAATGCAGATTCGGACTACGGGATGGACGTTTTCGAGTAACGACACTGACAACGGAGAGTGTAAAGGCTGAAGACACGCCTGGAATAGGCAAGGACACTGCACCAACATGACATGGTTAGCTGTCTATCCATCCCATTTGCCAAAGACTACACCTCTCCGCAAGGAACAGGGTAAAACCGCGCGGAAACAGGTTGCGTAAGGGCACGTGTCAGCAGATGCTAAGCAAATGAGTTGCTGAAGCAACATTTCAGTAAACTCTTGGTAGGGCTTTGCATTCAATTCGTGTCGCGATAAACACCATAGGCCCGGGTATCTTGCTTTTGTTTGACCTACCCGCTTTCATGTTGGTAGCAGTGCCGCCGCGTTACCAGGGATTTCACGTTCCTCTTCATGCATGTGTCAAAGCAGAACATGGAGGCAGCACGCCTAAGTCTTGCTGACCATAGCCCCGCGCCGCAAAAGGATCTTGGGAGCAGAGCTCGAGACCGCTCATTTAGAAAACGTTTACATGTGTCAGTGAGATGTTTGTGGTTTCAGGTCGTTGCCCTCAAGCTGAATCAGTAGGTTTATTCTTATGCAGTCGTGACTGCTTGCAGCTTACATTGCAAAATATTGCACGTTTCACCGCCAGTAGTTTTTTCAGATAGCTGCACCTCCTTGAATCAGTCATTTCAAGTCAGTCACTTTGGTGGCTGCTGGTACTCAACAATGATGAACGGGCACGGAAAACAAACCATAAGCCATAAGTGCATACAGGAATAGTACGCGAAGCTAGTATGGGCTCCTTGATTTTTGTCAGGACCGGCATCCGGAAGAGGCCAACAAGTTCGACCGGTCGGGATGCTGATGCTACCTGGGATCTTCCAAAGAGAGATCTGCAAATGAGTTGTGCATCATTTCGAGCAATGCGCCCCCAAAAAGCTGCGCCATGAATGATCGATTCTCATTATTTGTCTTTCTTTGTTTTGTTGGTCAGCGCTCACAGCTGTAGATATTCTTACGCGACGCGCTCGGTCTCACACGTGGCAGTCATGAAGCTCGTGATTCAAAATGTCTGGTTGGTTCGACTGGGCTTAGCTAGTCAAGCTTACCAAGAACTCAAGCTGCAAGCATCCGCCTTGGCCCTGGCAAAAAGCCCTTCCTAGGTTCACGTGAACTGTTGCGCCTCCCAGAAGTGGCTTGAATCCTGGTGAGCGATTGCTGCAGCTCCCTTGGTGGTTCAAGACGCCGCTTGCTTTGGCGCCCTGCGTTGACGCGCATCATGGACATTTGCTCAGTTTCTGTGAAGGTTGTGCAGTGACAGCCAGTTCGAAGACACATTCTCCTTGTATTAGCAATGCTCATTGCACATACTGAAAGATTTTTCTGGACCAGGCCAAGATGCTGACAGCTCCTTGGATGTTGAGAAACAATCAGCAATTCATTGACAATCAGTTGCCAACTGACCATGCCTCTACGTTTCGGTGTGTCCAAGTCTGGCCAGGGCACTCAGAGTATTTGATCTTATGAGTAGGCCAACGCAAGCACGAACCCGGCTTGTTGAGCAGGCTCATGCGTTGGAACATTCCGAAGACGATTGGTATGAAGGGCGCCATGCACATCCAGCCCCTATGACACTATGAGGCTCTCCTGGCCTTACTTCTGGCCGGAGCCGAAGCGCGACTCGGCGAGACGCCTGAGACGCCGAGGCACCAGTTGGCACCACCACCACAAAAAAAAGAGTGTGTATGGGCTCATTTTTCCGGATTTAGAGTTGAAGTTGGGATCATCTAGATTCGCGTAGAGTTAGCATCATACGCTATCACCGGAGAATCATAGCCCCAAGGCCATATTCACATGCTATATAGCAGAATATAGCATCATTTTGGGCATTCCGGAAATTAATTATTTGGGCGCTCCTTCGGATTGATTCCTAAGCTACGGGCTAGATTATGTGATGATTACTCTGGTTTGTAGGGGACGGATAGCTCAAAATATCGATCTATGTACAGAGAGGCATGAGGCATGTTGCTTTCAAACCACAAGCGCATCTCTTGCGAGTTCATGGTCCTGTCGAATTCCTGTCCCCATCGGCAGAGCGTTGAACTTTGGGAGAGTTGGAAATGGAGTGAAGCTTGTATGTTCAACTTGAGCCTGGAGGCCAAGCTCAGTAGGCTGGCAGGCGCAGTACTAGGGTTGTAGATGGCTGTAGACAGTCGAGACACTGGGTTGAACCCCTATAATATCAGGCTTGCATATTAAAGTGCAGAAATGTGCTCCGCCTCGTTACGTTGTTGCATCATGGCTGCCTGGCAGGAATGCATCCCGGCCATCTCCGGAGGACCTCCTTCCAGGTGGTGCTGCCCGCAGAGAAGAATACTGGTCGAATGCCACTCTACGCTTCAACGTCAACCCGAGCCTTTCAAAGTTGCACGACGTAACGAGGCTCCCACGGCCGAGCATGCATGCTTGTTAATGAGGAAGCATTCAGGTGCCCATGTCGTCAATGCAGTTGTGGTAACAGGAATCATTTTTTGGTTGAATATCGTAGAATCTGTGCAGCGCCTACTTACAAAGCAGGTGCTTCTCGTTCTGTGGGCAAGGACGCTAGCAGTAACAGCCATTTTGCTCAGTCTGAGGGCTGCGCTTTTGCAGATGACGGTAGTGCTTGCACAGCCCAGACTTGGGGTGTAGGTTCCCAGACTTGGTACAGCTAACATGCTCAAAGAAGCGAATCCAAGCATGAGGCTTTGGCAGGATGCACATGGAAGCAAGTGTGGTGGCCACAGCAGCCAACTCTCTTGACTTCTCAACTAACCCTCAGCAAAAGCTTGAGTATCTGGACCCTGGCAGCAGAAAGGGGCGGCCACGACGAGCCGGTCGTGTGTTCCGAAACTGCCCTTGCCAGGAGGCTGGGCTACGATCACCTGGCAACGACCACACGCTATGGAGACACTTGCTGCGCCTCCTGTGGGTCCATTGACACTGCCAGGCTCGTTGCTGGAACAGGCCTCTTGCGTTCACGTACTTGTAGCCGCAGACAAGCCCAAGGCATCAAAAACATGAAAATGCCTTCCTAGCTCGTTGATGTTCAAGGTCCGTGGTGTCAGGAAGGGCTTAGCAGTTTTCGAAGCAGGTTTTTTTACTGTAGATGTTCGGGCACGCCTCGAACAGTTGATGGATGTACGATGCGAGACCCTGCCACCCTTCCACTTGCCAAGAAAGGAGCTTTGATGGTGAGTAGGGGAGAAATAGGCCAATGCTTGTCAATTATTTTGGTAGCTTCGGCTTTTCTTTGCGTTGCTTGCGCTCATGTTGGATGTGGTTCTTCCTGTTTCGGTGCTGTGTTGCGATTCTGCGTGGGCATTTGAGATGCTCTGATCAAGGTGCCAAGTAAAGATTGCCAATGCTTTGGGGTCAGGTTGCCCAACTCTCATGAAAGCCGCATGCAGATGGGGCAGGGGGTGGGGCTGCAGAGGGAGCTCTTTGACAGACAAGGGAATCAGCGTGCCACATAATCCATATAATCTGGAATTCTAGAACGGCACCTGGCCGCTGAATCCCACATGCCGATCCGCTTTTACCTTTCCTGAGCAGACGGCGTCAATGTCATTGAACCTGTCCTGAGCGAAATCCTTGAGCAACCTGCTCCAGGCTTCTATGCCGTGGCATCCGCCGAGGCCATGCAGGCTTATGGCATCGGCACCCTGCCTGTGAAAGACTGCCGCTGCTGGCAGCAAATATGCGACAATCATATGTGTTTAGTCGACAAGGTGACGGCCACTACTGCACTCGAGATGCCTCCGGCCCATCAGGACTTCTGTTCTGTGCTTGATTGTAAGATGGCATGCGCATGCACCTTCGCGAACAAGTATCGAAGGTGCATGTTCAGCTGCTGGTGACATTGTTGTTTTTGCACTTGTGGCCTGTGAGGCATGGGCTGCCTGTCCTGCGCAAGGGGCAAGTTCCTTTGGTATCATCCCTTCGACTATCCCTTGTGGGCAGAGAAGGGGTCTTCAATCTTCCGGAAGGCGACGAGGGTCATCTGCCGCTGAGATAGAGGGACTGCCGTGGCTTCTTCTGTACCCATCAGAGGAGCTCAAGGTCGTTGTGGCCGACACATGCCCACACAAGGGCAACGAAGCATGGTGCCCTGGCCGCCAGGGATCTTCGAAGCTTGGATCTGCAATGCGAAGCCGACAGATTCCGAGGTTGCATGGTCTCATCTGCGTGCTCTGATAGCCGGGATGGGCAAAGGAAGCTGACATGGAAGTGAGATCAGAATCAGAATCAGGAACCAGGAACCAGATCAGGCCACACAGAACTGCATGATTCTGCTTGTGCCCACTACAGCTCAGGAACAAGTTCGGTGTGAAGCACCACTTTGACTTCGCCAGTCCGCCACCTGACTTCAACTGATCAGGGAAACTCTAGCATCTTGCAGAAATGAGTTCAAAGCAAGGCTGGGCTTCAGCAGTATGAACAGCTGGAGGGTCGGAGGGTAGCAGGGTAAAGCACGAAGCAACAGCTTCCCCGCACGCGCATCATGCAGGGCAGTCGCAGAAGGAGAAGGGAAGGCGGTGGAAATCGAAAGAGAACCTCCTGCCTAAGCACCATCATTGATCGCACGTAAGCGTTTGCGCCTCCGAACTTCCAACATCCCCAAACCACGCTCAGCCATTGATCAGGTGCGGTTTTGTTGTGATTGGATGTTTTCGGTCTCAGGCCAAATCACTCAGACACAGCTTCTGTAGGGCAGCCTCCATTGTTGACGATTTTTTGGCTGATTTACAGCGGATGGGGCGGCAATCAAGTCGAGAATGAGGAGGACAGGATGGGAGAAGTGAGTCAGGCGCGGCATGGCCACATGGCAGGTCTGCTGATTTCTGGACCAAGGCCTGGCAAGTACGACAACTACTACTTCGCCTGGAAGAAGATGGAGTGCCCGAATTACATCAAAAGGCGATATGCGCGGCTGAGCAGGTGCTGAAATCCGGCCGCACAAGCAGGCCAACCACCCTAATTTGCGTTACATGCGGCTTCAGTGCTCTGACCATTGCAGATAAGTAGACTACAGTGTAGCCAGCGTTCAAGCTAGCATCCCTTCGCCATCTATGAGCACCGGAAACGCGCTAGTTTTGACAGTTTTCCCGCACTGCTATACTCTCTGCACGAGAAAGGCAGTGTCCAATACCTGCTTTTGGGCATGCGCTGTGTTCACTCGCTATATAGCTACGACGGTGAACTCACTCGTCGCCAAAAATTAAGAATTATGGACTCTTGCACAGGGTCCCGGCAGTTGCCGATTGCAATAGGCATGTGTGAACTTCTTTGAGCACACACTCTGTATCTTGACAAGACACAAGCAAAACTTGCATGGTGCCTCGGATGCGCAGATTTGAAAAACGAGAGCGTTACAGCCACTGAGTTAGCAGGAGGCTTCCAGCATAGCCGGTAGGCCAGTGAGCTCTGAAGAAGGATGGGAGGCGACCTAGCCTGTTGTCTTTCGGATGGGAGGCCCCGTAGCCTGTTGTCTTTGGATCAAAAGATTGGTTCATTTCCTTGGTGCACATGCCGTTGCCAGAACGGTCAAACAATGTTTCATGCATTGGCCTGCAGTGACCTCATGGGACTTGAGAAAAAAAGCCACCAACCGGCCCTACAGCCAGAAGTAGACCTATAAGGAAAAAGTGCAAAAGCAGGCTTAGCAAGCTTCGCAAGCTTCGTATTCCCCGCTTCCGGCTGCAAAGCGGCCGTAGTTGAACATCGTAGACTCAGTAGACATCAGAACCAGCTAAATCATTTTGCAAAGTCATCTAATATCAATTCAACACTCAGAAGCTACAGATTCAAAACGCTTGGTCGTGGCAGTTGGTGAAGACATGTTGGTCCGCCTTGCATGGGGAAGGCCATGCAGGGCTCGATGCTATGTCAATGCCAAGGTCAGCGGGGTTGCCTTGCACCGTTTGACATGAAATGTGTGTCCAAGAAATTTTTGCGCAGATGACGCAGCGGCGCCGCGACTTCGAGGAGAAGGCCTGGGGTCTGGGTAGCTTTGCTTATGCAAGCATGCACGTTCTGCGAGCACGTTACGTATGCGAGCACCTGAGGCCTATCCGCGGGCATCTACTCTCGAGCCAAATCGATTGCCCAGGAGGGGCCGCCGCGGTGGCTGGATGCAAAGTCCACAGAGGCGCAACTAATCCAAATTCCACCGCTCCTGTGAAAGCTTTAGGTTAAGGTCCTCCATACTTTGCAACAGCTCAGTCCTTGCAAACCTTGTGTGATGTAGGTCCGACATAGGCGTGTCTCGCTAGTAGTTACCTCAGGGGAGTCGCCAAACTGGACGGCACCAACTCTGCACAGCGTGCGTGGTGGGATGAGCGCGAGGCCTCCATCGATGACAGCTTCGTGGCAAAGCTCCAGGAAGCCCCGAAGGGTGACTTGCAGGAACTCTTCGATCAGCACCTTTCAGAAATAGATGCGCTGAAAGTGTCCATGCCCCGAGCCGATGACTTCCGGCTGCCCCACATCAAGCAGCTCGTGAAGACCCCGAAATCCAACCCTGTGCACGAGGCCACGGTCGCGTCCATGCCGCTGCAGGCACCGGAGGAGACAGCGGTGCCGAGCTTTGTGCCCGAGTCGCTGGATCGACGCCAGAGGCGACGGCGCGGTCGCTTCATGGGCAGCCCAAACCCCTCCGAGCCGTCCAAGTCTGTGTCTGGTCCGCCGCTGCGAGGTGCCTGGCCCGATGAGCTGGACTCGGAAGACTCTGAAGACTCCGATGAGGAGGCTACGCATTCTAAACCTCCTTCGCCTCTCTCACGCGAAGGCCGCGGGGGGCGCCGGTCAGCAAGAAAGGCGCGCGAGCCTGAAGTCATGGCCTCGAAGTCTCTGGAGGACTTGGAAGACTTCTCGGAGCCACCGGAACCCATGGAGCCGGTGCGTACGTGCGAGCTGGGAGAAACTTTGTGGAGCAACTTGGGAGCTTCCTGGGTCGAGTACAACCAGTGCATTGTTCCCAGCGTTTTTCCCCAAGAGGATGCAATGGCGACAGGTGCCACATTGGAGGCTTATCGCCACACGCGGACCTCAGCTTCCCTTTTCGATGTCTCCTTCAAAGTCTGCTTCCGCATTACAGGAGCAGATCGAGAGTTCGTTGCAGACCAATTTCTCACTTGCAGTCTCACGGCAATGCGAGCTGGCGACGTGCAATACGCATGTATCCTGGATAGCAAAGGTCTAGTCTTGGATGATGCCTTCGTATACCTTGATGATGCCGTGAACATTTTGGCTTCTGGCTGGCATGCAAAGCAGCTGCTGGAGTATCTTGGCCAGCCACTCGCCTGCAAGCATTCCCAAAATTTAAGGAAAGTTGGGTACATGTATAAGTCTTCAGCTGAGCCCGCACCACCGGAGGTACATACTCTACGTGCGACGGTCTGGTGCAGATGTTTCTTTCGCGTCCAGTGGCAGCTCGATCCTCGCACTACAGGGCCCAAAATCTTGCGAGGACCGAGTGCTTAAAGAATACGCCATCAAGACTAGTCCAAATCCAAAATAAAGCCTGAGAAAGGCGCTTGAGATGTCTTGAGGCCCTTGTGCTGGCACTCACCCGGTGTGAAATGGAGCTCTCAGCGCTTGGCGAGGAGGCCATGCCCCTGAAAGAAAGCTCCAAACGGAAAGTTGCGTAAGCTGCGTATTCAATCAAGTCCTTGCACAGGTCGCTTTGGCGCCAGAGGTTTTGGAGGACATGCCGTACATGAGCGCCCTGGCGCTCAGACCGCCGCTCTCGGCTCCCCGACAAGTTTCCGGCACTTCCGGGCACGTGGCTCGCGTGGCTCTACTGCGAGTGGGCAGCACAGGTGAGGATGGCTTCGAGCTTGTGGGGCCTTCTTCACTGCTCGGGAGCGTGGCCAGGGCATTGTTGGCGGAGCCCTTGGTCAGGCCTGCAGGCGTATACTGCCTGGACATCCTTCGTATGGAGGCCGCGGCAAGCCTTAGCCCAGGGTCGGGCTAAACACGTTTAAAGTTTAAACCGTTTAAACATAAACACGTTTAAACATGTTCGGGAGATCCCTTGTTTAAACACGTTTTGTTTAAACATGTTTGGAAGATCATTGTTTAAACACGTCTTTGTTTAAACAAGTCCGGCCCATGTTTAAACATGTTTAAACATTTTCTGGAGACGGGTTTAGTTTAAACATGACTAAACATGTGTTTTTCAATGTTGAAACATTGGGGCGCCACTTGTTGAACGTTGCTTCCACGTTCAAAGGCATGGAACCCATTGAAAGGCGCCATTATTTTGGTCCCTGGAGAGGACCTTGTTTGAACCTGTTTAAGCGTTCCTTTTGACTCTTGCTGGGAAGGGTGGCCCGTTTGGGAGGCTCTAGAGAGGCCTATTGGGAGGCCCGGAAGGGAAATGTTTAACCACATTAGTTTAAACATGTTTAATTAAACGTGTTTAAGCGTTCCTTTTGACTCTTGCTGGGAGGAGGGCCATGTGGCAGGCTTTAGAGAGGCCTATTGGGAGGCCTGGAAGGGAAATGTTTAAACACATGAGTTTAAACATGTTTAAACGTGTTTAAACGTTCCCTTTGACCCTTGCTGGGAGGGGAGCCATGTGGGAGGCCCTAGAGAGGCCTATTGGGAGGCCTGGAAGGGAAATGTTTACACAC